ACACACACACACACACACACACACACACACACACACACACACACACATCCTTACATGGTAACGAAACCATAATAGCACGCACGAATTAATAATATAAATATGATTGATCGGATTAAAATGTACCATCCTGTCGATCGACGCACAAACGTAGAAGTGCACGCATGAATACGTTACGTACAATTAAAATCCGCTATGTTTACGATATCATGTAAAGACCAGTGATAATACTATAATATGTACGAGTACTGTCAACGACATTGCAAACATACTCCTCTACCTACACCCTAGCGGGGAGCTGTTTTATTAAGCCATCATTCGAGTAACACAACGTTCAGTATTACAAAAGAAGGAGATAATTGGAAAACAGTTTAGGAAAATTTATTTTAGTCATTGATAAAACTTAGGTAAACAATTTATCGCAAATGGTTGAAAATCGTTTTTGGAATAATAATACATTTTGAAGAGTTGCAGCTGAGAATGTGCAACATAAACATTTTTGGATAAATGAATAAAATTCTAAGAAAATCTAGAGTTGCTTAATCAATGATGACGATGATAGTTTTAATTTATGAGTTTACATTAAAGTTTATAAAATGTAGGTTCCGTAATTAATTAATTAGCAAGAATGTACGTGCGTCTTTTTTGTGTAAATAAGAGTGTTACGGACAAAGTGAAGTACCGGGTAAAGTGTACGCTGTTCAGGCCTTGTGGTACAATCAAATTTTGACGAGCAATATAAAGAAAACTTAAGCAAAAATTAAAATCCTGTTCAGAGTAATGTGAACAATTTATGAATTATTATCAAGATTAAATTAAATCATAATAAAAAAAATTTCAATTTACAACGAAATATATTTGATGTTATAAAAATATTATTATTGTAATTATTATTAAAATAATTTTTTCATTAATATTATGATTGAATAAAATAAGAAAATATAACCTATTAATAACTATAACATTTATTTTATATATCGTATAGAAAAAAAAAAATGTTTTCACACAAAATACACAAACTGTATCAATGACAGGGGGTTTATAAAAAAATCAATTTCATTAAATAATTTAAGATGGTGGCTAAACGTTACAATGTATTACATTTTTATTTCTTAAAAATACTTGTATTATTTTATGAATACATGTGCTGTGTATTTAATGTAAAAAAATAAGCAGAACCGATATCGATTGTTTATTAAGAAAAGACGGATATACAAGTTTTTGTTTAATATGATAATATTGTAAAAGAACTAAACGTGAAACGAATTAAGTAGAACATTTAAATTGTTTCAGAAAAATAGTGACAAGATGATATACAACCAAAATCGCAAATATTTATATACTTAACTATTGTTGTACTAATATAGAATAACAGTTCAAAATAAAAGTATTGAAATTAATTAAGTATTTATGACATATTTATTTTTCGGTTATAAAATCAAATCAGTCAATCCAATTTGTATAAATTAAATTCACATAATAATATATTAAAAAATGTATATTTTCGTATAAGTATGCAAAGTAAAAATGAATGAATCTATAAATATTTCACGCGGTGTGTGTAATATTAACCATATGGATCAATAATGTAAAGAATAAAAAATAAATATGGTAAAAGAGAAAAGTCCGATGTCCGATTAAAAATTGATCGGAATTCTAAATTATAAGGATCTTCTTAAATGTAGTTAGGAAATTCCTTTTGTATTTTAAAAAAAAGGATTGTATCATATTGGAAATATTGTCAATATTTATATTTAATGCAATATATAATAAATATAAAACCAAATAATTTGTAAAAAAAAAATTCTTTAATTAAATTTGAATAATATTATTGTTATTATTATTATTATTATTATTTTAATAATACTAAATAAAGCAATAATATTATATGCTTTTTCGTGTACTATATAAATTAGTTATAGAAAAATACACAGATATAATCACATGATAAAATTACATAAGCTTTAAATAGGTAGACAAAATTAAAAAAGCAAATCTTAGATGAATAATTTAATGAAATTTGCATACACATAGATTTAAGAATAACGCATAATTAGAAATACAAAAATACTAAATGCAATAGTTACCCATTTTCCGTTTATGGCTTTCATTGATCCTAATAATAATTTCAATTCTTTTACAGTTATACTAAAACTGGCAAGAACTCCAAGCATGTCGATTAAAAGATCTGAAAATAACATAAATAATTATATAATTATGATAAAAATATTAATTTGCCAACAAATAGTATTGGTTAAACTTATAAATTCATTTTTTATGTTTAAACACAGAATATCAACATGGACACCTAAATTAATCAAGTTAAATAATGATAATAAAACATCATATTATTATTTGTTTACTTTTGTTGGCGAAATACACGTCGATTACGCTCCAAATATATATTATTCATTTAAAGAAATAACTGTACTATTAAATTATAGGTAGTTATTTTTACTAAACAGTGAAAAAATGTTATTCATGTCCAGTAAAATATACAGTATTATTCTGTAAAACTACAGTTAATAAATAAATATTAATTTAGTTGAAATAAGACCATACTATATATATTATTGTTATTTGAATACTAAGCTTGTTATTATTACTCAGGGCTATACTGCGAACAATATAATCTCTAATAAAAGATTAATCTCATCTTAAGTCGTAAGTTAAAAAAAAATACGTAAAAAACATTACAATAAGTCGATAAAAATTAAATTTGTGTAATAAATATGCTTTCGATGTTTACACTTTACGTCAGTTAAAATTATGGAATAAATCCAAGCTTTATTATATTAGAACAATTTCCGATGGTTAAACATATACAAGATTTATTAAACACACAATCAAAAGCTAACATAAAACATGAAGTTATATGATAATGATTATCAAAAGTTTGACAAGATTGATAAGTTTTAAATTATGATTTACATACTATAGTATAGTTAATCAGTGCACACAGAGTAAATAATATACATAATCCAAATAATGTTATGTTAAGCTACAAAGCAAATTATTATACATTAATTACATTAATAAATTATTGAACACCAGTTATAAATATCGTTTCTTGTAATTATTATAACGAAAATAATTTAGTATTAGGCCATAAAAATATAGGATATAAATTATGAATTTATTTTCATGATGATGTTTTTACCACGAGTTCTATTTAAATGCGATGGAAAATACAAAAAACCCAAAGTATTTAAATTTTCAACTTTTTTATTTTTTATTTTTTACTAAATGTTAACTTTAAATCGAAGTAAATTCATTAATGCATAATTCAACAAGGTATTTAATTTTATAAGAACCTATAAATAGTTCTTAAAACAAATATTGAAAAGGATTTTTTAGCTATACGAAAGAAGAAACTTTTACATGTTAACATTTTCTTATTCTAGGAATTTTTTTCTATCACAATCTGTCTAGTTATATACACTAAACTATAGCCAATTTCAATCAAACTATGACCTAGCCAATTAAACTATGCCCTAATCTAACGGCGGGGTTAAAATTTACACAAATATTACACGAAAGTCACATTGATAGTATAGTATGACAAATCCTACAAATCTTGTTGTTAGCTACTATATTCAGGCGAATGAACAAAATTATATGATTATTATTTTGCATGATAATTATTATTTTCGTAAATATAACGCAAAAATATATAAAATATAATAAATCGTTTAAAAAATGGTGGAGATTTTGCCGAAAAACTATTTCTAAAATTACAGTAATTGCAAAAAATTAAAGCTCGAATTACAGTAATAATAAATATGAATATTATTTCATTAGACCTTATATTATACTTGCATAACAACAATGTATTAATGTTGCATTATTAAACTACGAATATCGGATGGCAATCAGTGTTCATATAAATATTTTTTTTAGACAAATAAAAATCATTTTTTCTTGGACTTAATACATTCGAGACAGAGGAATGTAATAATAGTGATAAACATTCTAATAGAGTTATAAATACCAGCGAAGAAGAAGATTTCTTATATTGATAGACAATATCTTTTAGCTACAATACACTTAAATTGTTCTTAAAATAAATTTGATCTTTTTCTAACCTATCGCTTTAAACATTTGACTTAGCCTAATAAAAATATATAGTTTTAGCTCTACGTCAATCCAAAGGTTAAAAGTTTAATAAATTACAAACAATTATAATAGGTCTTGTTTGATTATTTAATACCTATTGTATGTACCTATTATATTAAAAAAAAAAAAAAAAATCAAGCGAAATAAAGTGTACTTTGAAGTATAAAGGATATTAATATTGTAGAATATGTTGTTATTTGGATTTATATTAATATAAATAAGAAAAACTAAATTAATTATTTATACAAATATTATTTAAATAATTAGATATCTATAAATGTTTTATTAAAAATTTCTTTACGAGATTACACGGTATATTTTTAACACTAAAATGTAAAAATATTAAATTTAAATAGTTTATTTATCTTATCTATTAGGTATTTTTATCCATCCACTCTTAAACTTCGATAATGATATACTATAAAAATGTCATATAATTTTATACTTTACAGAGGATACTGAATAAAATATATAATGATGTTTATATAATTAATGGAATGGTTAAATATAAAGTAAATTTATTGAATTCTGGTACCAAGGTAGACGAGAAAACGTGGAAGAAAATGGTATGCGCACGATGAAAGAGGACACCACGAAGGAAACTGAAGTATATTCTAACCTGCAATATTTTCTTCCATTCGACAATTTAAGTTAAATTTATCATTATACAAACACCAAGACGCTTGATTAAAACTGTACATATTTCATAATAGTATAATAACAATATTAATAATACACAGTACCTATATCATACTGTTGCGGTAGCTAATTACAACGATAAATAATTTACGGCCTAATTCCCTTGCGGTCATGCCCGTTATATTTGTAGTAGTGCGATTTAACGATATAGAAGACGCACTCCGTACACGCTGTATTAATTCGTGGCAGAATAGGAGCTTTAAAATGAAAATATGCTTAACCTCGAATAATTTAATCGAAACCGTATTAAATGATTAATAGATTGTCTGATTAGAGTTTTATAGCCGTGAGGTAAGTAACATAATTGCAACCATCGGACCGTGAAGAACAACGACGTTAGATGCGTATAAATAAAAATAAAAAATAAAATAAAAACCAATATCCAACCGCAATAATAATTGATCTTACACCATTGATGTAACGGTCACACGGAGGAAAAACCTCGGGAGAAAAACAAGGGCTATTTATACAATTTTTCTATCGTTTGGTCAGGATTATCTTATAATAGATCAATAATGAGTGTTACTATTTAAATGTATCCACTGTTCACTGAGACGTGGTCAGGAATATTGAATAGGGGAGGGAGTTTGAATTTTTTAATTCTTAATACAGAAATCAATATAAAAATATATATAAATATATTTTACAAAAATTAAATAAATAATATACCTACTTACAGTTTTTATATTACAAAATATAGTATAAATTTCTTTTATAAATTATAATACAAAATCAAGAATACGAAATTTTTTTAAGGCATTCAATTTTAAGGTCTTTCTAAAGGTCAACTAATCAAGAGATAAGTGTTATATTTACCTAAACTTCTTTAAACATTTTTTAAAGCTCACTAGTTATATTTTCAAGTAATTCTTAAATAGTAGAAACACTGGCTTCAACAAGAAGCATTTATGCTTCTTTCCAGTAAAGGTCAACTTTTTGCAAACGTTTACTTACATAAGGGTAAACCATATGAAAAGAATAACTTATGAAAATTAAATAATATTAATTTTAGTTTAAAATAATAATTATATTGCAATGAAAAAAATGAAAGATAATAATTTTTAATATTTACAGAATCTGATTTCAACATTTCAGAATATTATAATAATTAATATGTAATTCTAGAATTTTAAATTTGAAGCACTTTTAGGCAGGGTTAGCGAGGGTTCAGGGAATTCAATGCGCTGGCCTTTCAAGCTCCAATGGGCTTCATAAAACCAAACATTTTCTGTTTGGTTTTTTTTTTTCTTTTAAATTTAATTACAAATTATGTTAAATTTATTAATTTTTTTTTTATAGTTATTCAATAAATGACCATGTATGAAATGAAATATAAGTATTATATTATTATTATTTTTTTAATTAGTATTTGTAACCGGGTCTTCTGAGACATAGATTCGGCAATGGACGCGGTAGTCGTTATAAATTAGTAGCTAGGTATGTTATCAAAATTAAAATTAAATAATTTTTATTCTATTGTTCTTTATATTTAAGTATATCTTTAACCGTGATAGTAACATAAAAAAAAAAAAAAAATATTTAGAAAACTCATTGGTATCTGTCATATCGATCATTCGGTATAAAAATGATATAAGAATGTAAAATCAATGAACATTTATAATAATCAATGTGAACCCCCTAAAATCCGCCTTGAGCACGCCTATGACTACTCATACACTATATCAAGTTCAATTTGTTGAGTTAAGCTTGATGGCTATTTTTCCACACGTATCCTATCTGTCTAAGATTTAATTTTGAACCATATTAAGACATATGATTACGTAAAGCCGGTATTTTAAGCCATAAAAAAATAAAACTCCAAAATGTAACATAATTTTGTTTTTAATTAGATACCTTTACACAAATATACTTTGCTGTTTGCTTTATAAAACTTCATTGACTGGTGGCGATAAGTTTCTGGCAAAGCAAAAGTAACTAAAAAATATAGAGCGAACAACATCATGACTACACACATATATACCAATTGGTTTTGGACAGCGGTTCAGATCGACGAACCATGTTTGCGGTTCACAAACCTGATTATGTAGGCTCAGACTGATGTAGCACAAACTCCAAAAAAGGTTATGTTAGGTTTACGTCGACGAGTGGAAACTAATTTCCTGTTGTAAGGCAGTATTCATATAGTGTAATGTTGTTCACGTATCGATTCCAGTTACTGATTGTCGAAAACCATAATTTATACATTTATAGTAGTGTTCAACTTTTTTTCCGAAGCGCAGAAGTTCCTATAGTAATATTATCGTTCGTTTTTTCCATCTATATGAAACACGCGTAAACACACAAGCTAGACATTTCAACGATGACGCGTTGAGAAACAAATTGATTATAAAATATTGACAGATAAAAACTTTTAAATACAAGAACACATACCGTCACGTAAATAGGAGTATATATATATATATAAAGAAAGAGAGATAACGAATTTATATTTTTTTCGGCTTGATATGTGTCTAAGTTTAATACCTTTTTGTGGGACACGCTCCGGACGTCCAATAAATGTTATTTCGAGTCACTTTTGGGAATTTTCCGGTTAAACGTGACTGAAAAAGAATATGCTGACGGGGAACCGAGTATAACTAACGTTTGCCCTTGCTCAATCCCATAAACCAATATCAGTTCATCTGCGCTCTGTTATAAATGAGTTTTGAATTAATTAGTTGCACGCAATATTATATAAAAACATGTTAAGACCCACAAAGTTTATTTTGTTTTATTCAACGTTTCGACAAAAAGTAAAAGAAAAATTAAATTGAAAAAATTAAAAATATAATAGTTGCACGGCGTTAACTAGTGATTTATAAATGACACTTGAGTCATCGATGGTGTATTGTCATATGGGTGAGTTGAACTTCCATCACGTAAATAACGGTTTGTTTTCAAGTTCAATTTATCTTAATTCATACAAAGGGCACATGGTAGTGCAATACTTATAAACAGGATACTACATCGTCTATTGTAAAACGGTCACGTTAGAATTATTTCGTTGAAATTTGTATATTTATTATACTAGAGTCGAATCACTTTTAGCGATTTTAGTTTTTTGTGATGAACTGCGTGATAGGTATCTCTTTATAAATAGTGCACTCGAATTAGGTGTTTTACAACCCGTTGGAAAACGTGTAAGAAGAATAGTCGGCTTGAGAGGACCAAGTATTTTCACCGTTGAATTTCTACAGAGATACGAATGATCCAACTTCAACATGTCAAGTTATTGAATGGGATTCCTTAGGAATAATCAAACGAAATACCAACCAAAGTCGAGTTATGTGTCAGACAAATAATATTACCATACGTATATGAGATATTTTAAACGCGGAACGTACTAGTGAACACATTTAATCGTTTACGATATTAGTCAATTGTTTGGCCGAGACGATTGTCATGCATCGTATTATTTATTAAGAGTTGGTGAATACAGAATGCCTTATTTCACGTAAGATCACGTATAGTCGACGACACGGTGTCAGGTCAGCGAATATCGAATCGAATAACTAGGAAGAACAATGACTATGTAATGACGTAATACCGATAATCAGTAAATACATTAAACATACATCAACCATAAATTGATGACCTACGATACCGGTAGAAGATATGTATTAAAATTTAATCGAATAGTTAAGAAAAAATTAATAAATTATAAAAAGACTTTTTTACAGCTAAGGTGCTAAAAACTATTGTAATCATTACGCATCTTAAATTTACCAAAATTCTTTTAAACAATAAAATAGATAAATAACATTGTATACGTAATTTTTTTTACGGACGACTAAAATTAATACTCGTTTCGTGAATGGACAGTGATTATAGTAATTTCTATAATAATAAAAAAGAAAATTTTCAATAGTAAAAAAATCTCGAATGAAATACACTTGGTGTGAATACATACTAATGTGGAATAATTATTTTTGCACAGTGAATATTATTAAAGGTGAAATTATTCAAAATGCATTGTCATTCGAGCTCTGACTCACATAATAATGAATTAATTATGTTTCTGGCGTATCATTAAGTTTACACTCAACAATCCTTTAGCAAACATTAGAAATCGTAATGATATTCAAAAGTATAATATTTAATATAGAAAGCATTAGTTATTTTAATAATGTTCAAAAGTATAATATTTAAAAAAGAAACATTAGTTGTTTTTTTTTTTTTTATATAGTTCAACAATCAATAATAAAACACAAAAAATTTTTCACAATATATGATTGAAAACTGCAAGTAATAATAATCATAAGTAATTTCCAAATATATGAATATATATATTACATGATATAATAAATATAAAATTTGTAAAAATATTTCGTGTTGATGTAAACCCATATTTTTCACGTAATTCGAAATAAAATAAAATGTTGACATTTATTTGTTTAATATATTGCAGATTACTTAAGAAGTCAATAATTTGAAAACCATTATGTATTCAAATATTTAATATTTTGATTAAAAAGCATTTTAGTTAATTACATTTCATAACAACACTATTGTTAAAATATCAACATATAAAGGTTTTCAGTGAATAACTTCTTTATTATTTTAGAAGTATATTTTAATTTATAAATTCAAAAACAATTATGGTACACATAACATGATTGCATTCAAAAAACGATTACTAACATAGCTTGAATATGTGCTATACATACTTCAGAGATTAAAAATATAATAGTAAATACTCATGGAAATAATCGATTTTGACATATTTTCTGCACAATATTTTTTAAAAAAATTTTCAAATATAAAAAATCTACATAACTTAAGAACTCATAATGAACTATAATAAATAATAGAATTTTAGTATTGTTGAGTCACACACAACAAAACAAAATACAGCACTTTTTTAGAAGTTTACAGGTAAAATTAAATTTAGTATCCAGGTGTTTTTTAATTTTGTATAAAACTTATCATAATGAAATTAAATATAAATTGAATAACGACTTGCTTAAAGTATCATCTATTTCCAATTTCCTATCTAAAATATTTTCGTGCAGATTAAACACCTGAATAAGTATTAAACGATAAAATAAAAAAAGCCTCATCGTCAACCCTGAAACCGAAACAATATCCTTAGCTTTCCACGTAACGTTAAAAATTAAACGTTATTGTTTTACAGCTCTAGAATTCCAATATCAAAATGACAATTAAACTATTATAGGAGTTTGTATTACAAGTAAATTAAAAACCGACATCAATATTGATGTTATTTATGGCTTAACGTTACCTGCTACGACGGTGTCGGCACATGCTAGCCTATTTACGACTAACTCAATTAGTCCAACATCAGTGCATGCTTGTAAATTTCTTACGGACTTTCTTAGTATTGCAATAAAAACGCTCCATATTTCAGCCTGAAAAAAAAAAAAAAAACGTTAGTAATTCAAATTTGATTTTTCACTTCATGTCAATACGAATACTTAAAAGCACGCATGCAGTAAGTATATGCTCTTCAGTACAGATTTAATCAATGAAATGGGGAAGTATATGTAGCTTTTGAGCGAGTGGAATTCTTATATATATACATTAAGATGTTATACAAATGTAATGTGGGATTTTTGAAGAAGACTCGAGAAATGTATTTGAAGAAATATCTATTCATTTTTATTTTTCCGTTTTTATTCATACAAATTCATGTGAGGGATTGGGTCGATTACAGTTTTCAATATTTTCCTCACCGTTCTATGGTCGTTTTGCTCAATATGTAAATAACAATATATGTATGCGAGTGTATGTATAAGTTTGTGTATTTTTTTATGGCTCTATACACCTATACACATTTTTGTGCGTGTAAAATGACGATGGAAGAAGTAAGAGTGCGGAGAGAGGAGTTAGGGTGAAAAAATATTAATTTCGAGCTTTGTGCTTGTAAGTAAAAAAAAAAAAAATACAAAATACTGGCCAAGGCATAAAAATACACAAACTCAAACTCAATTTCTCTCTCTCACACACACATAAAGACCACGTATGGAAATGTGTGAACCTTTGTACAGCAACCTTTTCTTCTTTAAATAATATGATCTGTATTCGGTGGTGGTCCTTTCCGGAGAAACGCAACTTGTTCAGAAATCCGCACATCCGATTAAAACAACACCTGTCCTTGTTTAACGGGCGTGATTTTGAATAATTGTTTTTGAGAGCATTTTGGCAGCAAGGATTATGCACATACCGTACAAGTATTCCGATTAAAACTTTTTTCTCTCAATCTCCTAAAATATTCTATCTATACGTAACGTATATGTTTCTTCGCATCAAATGGTACTGCACACATGGAACTAAATAAAATACTGAAGACACGCTTTGAATTTGGTTTTTAAAATTATATTTTAATTTAAAAGAATGCGTTCACGAGGTACATGTCACGTTAATAAAATAATTTTATTTTTTTACATGAAAAATATATTAATTATTTAGGTACAATATATTACTCATGTGTAGTATATGAATGTTGGTGCGTGTAAGAGCTTGTGGATATGCACGTGTGTGAGTGATTGTACATACATTTATATGAGGGTTTTTGAGGATATTTATTTAAGTTTGTTTTTTTTTTCTTATTGTCAGAAAACTAAAAATAAACAAAAAAATAAAGGTGTATAAATACGCTATGCCATAATGCTCAGCTGAATTCAAAACTGTTGTTATATGTAAACAGCGATACAACATATGAAAATACAAAACAGGAACTGATGAATTTATTATACGTAATAATTAATTTTATCTTTTACTTTAGTTCCTTATATACAGGTTTGGATAGTTATAAAATAACTTTGGAAAACTCTGTAATCAATGTATGATATTTTAAAATTTCGTTCTAAATATCTAAGTATTTAGTAGTCATAGATCTGTGAACGGCGCAATAGCATGTTTTCATAGTAAAAGCATTTTATTTAAATGACTGTTATGTGATAGCATCAGGATCAGAACCGTAATCGGAAAGAACCGGTAAACCTTTAAATTTTAGGAACCGTAAAAGAAACCGGAACCTTTTTCCAAAAATAAAAAACCGTAACCGTAACCTTAATTATAAAAAGGTTAATTTAGGTCAGTTATTTAGAATAGTAAAACTATGGTAATGACCATTTTGTTTGTCCATTTGTCGGTTTAGAAAAATAAAAGTCAAATCTTTTTATATTTTTATTATTTTGTGTTGTAAACTGTAATAGTGTAATGCATATAGTAAATAAATTCGTAATATTATTATTATAATTATTTTTGTATGTTTATTAATATATTACAATTTACAATGAGTATATCATCTATATTGTCTATTAAATATTAAATATAATTAATGTTTATACAAATTTGTAGCAACAATAGTAGCCGGTATTAACTTTGATTCCTAATTAAAGTTAAATTTTAAATTAAAGATTTATTTCATCAAATCATAATATTACACAATATTACGAAATATTTTACAAATTCTTACTATGAGTTGGAATAAAATAACTTAAACTAACTCAAAAAAATGTAATAGGCTGATATAATATATATATATATATATTTAATATATTTATAATTATTTTTTTTAACTATTCATAATACCTTATATTTTCATGAAATGAAACAATTACAATTAAAATAAGAATAAATAAATAATTTCATATTATTTTTTAATAAATATTTAATAATCAGAACTAACCAAAACTAACCGGTTCTAGAACCTTTACTCTTTTAAAAAACTGAAACCGAAACCGGAACCCTTAAAAAATTTATTGAACAACTAAAACCGAAATCGGAACAGAAAAAACTTATAGGTTTCAGTCCATGGATAACACGGCGTGTTTTCTACATTAATTTCGGCATTAATCACAATCGCCCAGTACCGATGACACACGTAATAAAATTGTGGATGAAAAATTTTGAAGAGAGTGGTTCAAAAAAATAAAAAATGAGGTGAAAATTAAAAAAACTCGAACTCCATAAGAGAATTGATTTTTAAAAGACCCCGTCGATCTGCTCTTCATTATAGTGTACAACTCAAGTTATCAAACCGAATCGTATTGTACTGGAGTGACATAAAACCTAGTGAAATTCATCAGATACCTCTATATTCCTCCATAGTAACGGGTTTGTACGCTTTATCTTTAAGAATCATATATCTGTATATTTTCGAGAATAAACGTGAAGATATACTGTGATAGATCACTGTTATATCAGAACGGTATTCATAGATGTTGCAAAATAATTTTATTCCACAACTTGGTCTATATGGAGTAACTAGATATTTTTAAAAAGATGGAGATACGAGTCACACAGCTACAGTGATAATGAATATTTGAAAATAATTGTTGGATAATAATAATAAGTGCGGATATTTCTTTATCACCCTCTTGGATAGCTTGATTTAAACAACCTGTGGTTATTTATTGTGGAGTTCGGATACATAAAAAATAAAATATAACAAAAAACACCAAGGACAATTGACGATCTCGAAAAAAATAATTTAAAAATAGGTGACACAAATCTCTCGGGTTAAGTTACAAAATGTCAAGTCCAGTTTTAAAAGACACCTTGACGAATGATTGCATTGAAATGGACGCCATATTGCGGACATTATTTGCAAAAATGAAATACAAATTAACACATTTAAATGTTTTTTTTATAAACTTTCAAATGGTATGAATTAATTTATTAAAAATATTCTTGGGGTTTTTTTTTTGTTAGTAATTGTAAAATAACCCGTCTCATTGTTTCTTTCTGTATTATGAAGTCCATAGACATTCACGTGTAATTATTACCTTACTTGTACATATTTTTTCTCTAAAACATGTCAGTATAGTTTTAATCATTAAATATTATAATTATATCTCATATAGACAGAAATCATAATATGTTTCATAATTTTTTGGTCAGCCATAAAAAAAAAAGGAACCACATAATATTAATTAGAAATTATCAATATCCTTCAATGTACGGATTAAATGTATGAATATTTACAATAAAATGCAATACACTTGTTAACACATGTAGTATTTATTGAAACCACAATAGTTAAGACACATACATTTATTATAATAGATAATGGTACGTTTAAATATAAAAACTTTGAATTCAAATAAAAATAATACCTATTACCAAACGACTTTCGAAGTAATAAAAATCAATCATGATTTTTTTTCATGGAAAAAAAATATAATAATTTTAAATAGTAGAAAATACCCGGATGTAGTATAATATAATATATTATAAGGACGTACCCAAATATATACATACATATACCGTGTACCCCATAGAGCTTGGAATTTTTTAAAACGGTTTAAACCAAAATGTAAACATCATTTATTTCTCCTTAAATAACAATAAAGTTTTTGAACACCACAGACGTAATAAAATCATAAACTACTGTAAAATAATATTAAATTCATTAATATCCAATAAGGTATTTAGGTATTCTGTGAATTACACTATTTATAAAATGTGTAGGTACATGTAAATACTAATTGATAATACTCAATATCTTTGCATAGACATTTGCAAGTTGAATTATGATTCTTCGCTTATTATTATTACATAAAAATCCATATATTTATGACTTGAAGTTTTTTAATAGACAAGCCCATGTACAACTTTTTTGTTCTTGAATGACATCCTTAATGATTTTTTATAGATAATATTCCTTTAGCTTGAATAAAAAATATTATTTTTTAATCAATACGTTAAATCTTTATACGTTAAACTTATTAATTACTAAATACATTCATAACTTAAATAAGAATTAAATTTGTAATAAATTATTAATAAATTCTAATAAATCCATTAAATGTAATAAAATAAATAACTACTTATTTACACTTTTTGCACAAATTAAAGTAAAAATGAACAGTAGTTAAGATTATAATTACGTGTAAATATCATTTTAATAAATGATGGTGAAAATATCAAGCATAAAAAATCGTAGAATAATTATTTTTAAAGTTACAGTCAAAAAACCGATAATGATACGCATTTTATTATTTTTTATTAAACTGTTGTAACATGGTCAATTTGGAGTTAGGTAGTTGGTACCAAAAACTACCAAAATTTATTAAAAAACTAAGTAAAAATAATAAATGGTTAAAATAGATGGTTGCCATTTAAAAACTATGAAGTTACACAAACGCTTGTATATTAAAAAAAAGTTAATAAAAAAGTTATAAAAAAGTGTATTTTTATGTAATAATAATCAACTAAGAAATATAATTAAAACCGCAGAACTATTTGAAAAATCGTTTTCAATTAGCATTTACACACTGTATATCCGAATATAGCACATTCAAATCAAACTATAAATACAGGATCATTTTTTAAATTTGGATAGAAAAACAGTAGTAATAGTTATTTTATGTTTTGTTCTACTCGAATTTGATACGTCATA